ATTAGTTGTAAGTAACTCTTGTTGTTGAAAAATTACATCAGTAAATACTTAAATATGTGAATAAACTAATAAGATGAAATAAAGGATCGTTTTTCGTTCGTTACATATATGTATGTATATTCCCTGAACATACCATATACATTCACTGAACATACACATGTATATTCACTGCACATACCAGGTACATTCCCAGAAAATACACATGTATATTCACTGAACATACCAGGTACATTCACTGAACATACCATGAACATTCAGTGTATTAACTCTGACAGATTCCTGAGACATCCATGGAATGTTCATAATAGAACTCATGTATGTCTCAAGAATATGCATGTACATCACATGAATGTTCCAGGTATATTCTGAATATCATTTTGCTATGTGGGTAGAAGGATGTGGAGATGGATCTAAGGGGCCTTAATTTGCGCTAATCCTTTTAAAATAACAAGAAATCCAGTCCTTTGGAGAAATATTCGGTGTAAAATTCCAGGGCGAATACAATTCGCTACACGGAGGGAAATTGAGCGTGCAAAATTTACGGCTCTATTTGGAGAGCACCAGAGGCAAGCAGGTGACAGAAAACCTCTTCGATCAGATCAGTTGGCTGATTATACATAGTCTAAAGGCGATCGCCCCCGTCATTTCGACAGATCGCCATTGCTTTGAGTGCTACGGCTACGACATCATCATCGATAACAAGTTGAAACCTTGGCTAATTGAGGTAGAAATTTGCTCCGTGCGAACGAAAGGAACATTTTCCCTTTTTTAGGTGAATGCGTCACCATCGCTCACCTCGACCACTGCAAACGACCGGATTCTGAAGCATAAACTATTGGATAATATTTTCAACATTGTCGTCCCACCCTCTGGAATGCCTGAGTAAGTATGTACACCAAAAGGCCGAAGCTTTCCTGCAACCCTTTAAAGCGCGGACGATGGAACGTGTCCAAATACTAATACAGCTATTACTGTATTTGCAAAGACGAGTTCTCCCATTTCAGCGTTAGATGGAACAAGGTACCCTCCCCAGAAGTTCTGGGCGATTTTGAACTCCTAATAGATGAAGATCTGGTCAGCATGAATGAAAATGCCGAAATCGGCCTCAGGGGAAACAACTCCAAGTGGAAGTAGTGAACGATTCATTTGCACTGGTAAATCCAGTTGATTTGTTCATCGGCCCTATTTTTAAGCTCAATCACATTGAGGACTCACAAAGTCCTTTAGGAATATCACATAAACGCTCAATAGTAAATTGCTGTTGTTCTTTGAACCCCTGTCCAATAGCTTCTGTTAGTTCGAATTCGCGAGTTTTATTGATTTTTTAGTTCGATGCTCGCGTTCCAGACACAGAGGAACAAGTATTGGAGATAATTGCAGAAGAGCCTTTCAGGGGCACTCAGAACAT